TTAGTGATAATAATTTTGCCTTGGGAGTCTTGATATATGATCGACACTCGCTGTTTGCTTCTCTCTATTAGTACTATATCCAAGAGTGCTGGGGATGGCATATGCGATGTGTTGTTGGTTGCTGAGGTCATTGATGTTGTTGGTGTGGTGTGTTGGGTAATTTGAATGATTGGCAAGGAAGATGTTATGATGGGAAGCTTGGATGAAGTGTGATTGGTCATGGCATAGTTGTGTTAGTTTCTTGTTGTGATATTTGATTTGTCACGTGTATCACGTGTATTTGTAGATGTAATATCTAATGAAGTTTGATTAATAAAGTGTTTTGATAAGGACGCATTGCGGTATAGACGTGTTTGTTGTGGTGTGTGTTGGCACAAGTTGTTGCTGATGTTTTGGTGTGGACGCGTTTTATGGATATGTTTTGTAAATGTGTTTTATTGTTTTATGATTGGATTTGACACGTGCTGACCTTGTTTACTTGACGCGTGCGAGCTTGTTTACTTGTTATTGTAGAGATTGACTTTTCAAGAGACGTGTTCGTGAAACACGAATTTTAAAGGGGGCAAGCTGGTTCTGGTTTTTATGGATTGATATATGTATGATAAGGTTTTTCCCTTATCTCTGTATAGATGATGGGAAGTCTGACATTCTTCTAGCTCAAGGAAGGTGACAAGGTTGTTTGATTTATCAGATGAAATCTGGCCTTCCTTAAGTTTCTACAGTGCCTAGAGGAGGTGTTTAACCTGACACATGACTGGCTGTAGTGGTGGCAGGGATGCTGGCTTCCTGAGACCTTACTGTGAATCAGGAAGCTTGGTTTTTACCTTCCTCTTTTACAAGAAGAAGATAAACTGAAGTTGTTTGCTTTATGATCTATAAATTGATAAGTTAGTGCTGAATAGTGTGTTTTTAGTTTGTTATACCTGACAGTGATATTGTTTCTTGGTGTTTGAAGTGTTTTTTGGGAAGAGAACTTGATGAATTTTTCTTTTGAAGAAAATTTCCTAATTAGGAAATGTGATGATGGACAGGAAAGAGTTTTAAATTTTTATAACAATATATAACTAAAATCATATAACAGGAATTATATCTAATAAAAATTATAATATTTCACTATTTTTTTTTTATTTCTTTAATTTCTTTACAATGCTGATAATCTTGTCCCAAATGTTTTTTTTATTTTTTTCTTTTTATAACAAATAGTTTCTTGGGGTTTTCCTAATTAAGGGGTTTTCAAATAATATACTGTATTTGTTCAATAAGTGATAAGCTAATATCTATAGTAATATAATTTATATCTTAGTATTAATTATGTAAAAAGTTAACTTTTACTTTATTAATAAAGATAATAAGTAATTCCTCACTTTAACATTAAAAAAATAGTTCAAATAAATATATGACTTCAGCATAATTGCAAAAAAAATCAATAATATAATATTTATAATATTTATTTAGTATTGATAAAGTTTTGATAAATTAGCTAATTACAATTATTTAAAATATATCTTTATTCTTAGAAACTGACAACAAGTTACATGATGATATAATCTAGTGAATTACTTTGTAAAATAAATAGCAATTTCTTGTGCATTTGTTGTAATAGATAACGATAAATATAAAAAAGATACGCTTTATAGACAAATTAATATTTACATTTATTTATATTATTACTTATCGTTTAAGAGATATTTTAATTAATTCATTCACTTAACATACTCGTGATCCTTTAAATATACACGTTCCTTTCGCGAAGTAATTACTCCTGCAGGGGCGTGACACGGCGCGAGCCGTCCTTATCTATTTGCCCCAACGATACGATATACAGTACGTATAGTATCAATTTTGTCAATTTTGTAATATATGAAATTGGATTTCTAATTTTCAAGTTTTATTGGTTTTACTAATTGTATATGATAATAAGATTATCAACTCAAAACCACTTTATTTTATCGTTCCAAGTTGTGAAACTTGGTTTAATGTTTGTTTGTGCCCCTTTTTGCCCGCTGATAATGAAAAGTCATCTTCCGATAATGATTGCCTGCGTTTTTATTTACGTAGATACTTATATTTAAGTGTAATGGCGTGATTGATAAGCGAAGATTATCAGATCCGAAATGTAGTTATCTGATCCTTTTTAGAATATAAATTGTACATTTATTTTCTCTCTTAACCATCCGAAATACTTCTTCATAAAAAATGGTCAAAGCAGTTATACTTGGTGCATCAGGTGGAATCGGACAGCCTCTTTCGCTTCTTCTCAAACTAAATGAAACCGTTACAGAATTAGCTCTTTATGATATTGTTAATACTCCCGGAGTGGCTGCAGACTTGAGCCATGTCAATACCCCTGCCAAGGTCACTGGTTATTTACCTCCAGAAGGTTTAAAACATGCTCTGACGGGTGCTCACTTGATTATCATCCCGGCTGGTGTCCCTCGTAAGCCTGAAATGACGAGAGACGACTTATTTAAGGTAATAATATAAAAATGCGAGTGATGAAATATAAACTCAAAATAAATTTAATCATTCAAATCAATTTTGATTAAAGATAAACGCAGGAATTGTTCGTGACCTAGCCGAAGGCATCGCTCAACATGCTCCTAATGCTTTTGTTCTTGTTATTTCAAATCCCGTAAATTCCACCGTTCCAATTGTCGCTGAAGTTTTAAAAAAACACAGAGTCTTTGACCCAAGGAGAATCTTTGGTGTAACAACTCTCGATGTAGTCCGTGCATCTACGTTCTCTAGTGAAATCACTGGTTCTGATGTTCGTGAAACTCGGGTGCCAGTCGTTGGTGGACATAGCGGCGTAACTATTATTCCCCTTTTATCTCAAATTAAACCGTCTCACCATTTTACCCAGGAGCAGGTTGAAGCATTGACACATCGCATTCAATATGGTAAGATTTTTTTAAATTTGCGCTGGATCATTATGCTTCGTAAGAGAGATATAATTATTTATGCGAAATCAAAATATAGGTGGTGACGAAGTCGTCAAGGCAAAAGCAAGTCTTGGATCTGCTACTCTTTCAATGGCTCATGCCGGTGCCCGATTCGCCTCTCATATATTGGATGCTACTGTTAAAGGGATTGCTGGAATTGTTGAACCTTCTTATGTTCATCTTGATGCTGACGCAGGAGGTGCACACATCAAAAATGCTATTGGTGGCTTAGAATTCTTTTCTTCTAATGTCGAGCTGGGAGTAAGTGTTTTTCATGCGTTGCTTTTTACTTTCATGAACCATTTTTGATTTTTGATTTATTTTCTAGCCCAACGGGGTATGCAAAATTCATCCGCTTGGAGAACTCTCTGAGTATGAGAAAAAGTTGTTGGAGGCCGCCATTCCAGAACTTAAGGCAAACATTAATAAAGGAGTCTCGTTCATTTCTCCCAAGTTGTGAGTAATTTAATTTAAAAGCATGCTAAAGAGGTTTTTAGCCTTAAGTTTGTATAATTTCAAGCTAAATCAGCGCCAAGTAGCGCATAACTTATATTTGTAACTATTTTGTGAATAATTATGATTTGAATAAAAACGAGATTGTTTTTACATACTCGACGAAATATGCTTGATGATAAGACTCAATTAACAATTGATAATTTCAGATGTTAAAACAGCACATTTTCAGAATAGGAAACTTTCAGTGTTTGAATTTGTGATTAATTGACGCGTCTTTACATATTAATGGCGTTACAATTGTTTATATTACACAAGAATGATCCAAAATAACAAAAAAATCAATTGCAAAAAATAATCCATTGACAATATTTTATATTACGATGTAAAAAAAGGTTTGCCTTATACTATATTCGACAACTAATAAATTAAAAAATATCAAGTTATTTAAGTTTCTATTCAAATTAAATTTTAAAAATTAAAAATTACAATAAAAATTTTTTTGTTAAATTATTTACAAAAAAAATCTTTTTAATTAATTAAAAAAGACTTGATTTAATATGATTTTTAAATTAAACTTGTTGATTTTTTGGTAATTAATGTGCAGTAAATTCTTTTTAAATGAAGTTTTCTGTTTGGTTCCAAGTATATAAAACCTTTTTAAATATCTATTATTCTAAAATTTTTAAATATAATTTCAAGAAAAAAAATTGATATACAGTATGAGTCATATATTTTTGGAATTTTTTTAACTTTGTATTTTATTTTAATATTAAATAAAAAAATCATT